TGTGCCGACGCGCTCGGGCACCGAACCTTCTGGGGGCCTGGCGCTGCCGGCGCGGCTCCTCCGCGAAGGCGCCAGCAGCGCAGGGCTTGTGGACGCAGCGCACCCTGTGTGCACCCAGCCGCTCTCACGCTCCCGCTCCCCCAAGGCCCGGCCAGTGGGCGCACACCTCTAGTGCACACGCACAAACACAGACGAACATTTCGTGCATGCCCAGGTGCCAGCCGCTGGGGGCCAGGCACGTTCCCCACACGCACACTACTAGCTCCCCGCACCCGGGGGACACAGCACGCGCGGCACCAACGTCCACAGTTGAACCATACTCCGTGCCCCCCTGGAGCTGCTGCCCCTCACCCGCCACGCACAGGCAGCCAAGCGCCAGGCATTCGAGCCAGACCCGCGGCCCCCACGCTGCCGTCCCTTCAGCCCCGCGGCCGCCCGCGGCTCTCACACAGCCCTGCTCGCCAGGCGGCCCGAGGGAGGGCGAGCCACCCTCCTGCGAAGGGGTCCGCGTCCGCCCCGCGCGTCCCGGAACGCGGCGCACGCTGCTGCCTCCCGCCTCCCGCCTCCTGGGGTCCATGGGGCGCCGACCTCGGTCACTGCCCCCCTCTCTCGTTACCCGCACACGCCCAAGCCACCTTGCCCAGACAGGCCGGCGGCCACACGTACCTGAAGGTGTAGGTCGCACTTGCTTCGGGAGGAGTGTGCTCAGGTGCCACCGCGCTCAGAACGGCCGCTGCAGTCCGGGGCACTCCGTAGCGGCGCGGCGTCCTCCCATTACAGCATTTTACACTCCCCCTGTGCACACACACACAGCCCGAGCGCTCCGCGGCGTCTTTCCTCCCCTCCCTCGCCCGGAGGAGGAAGTCCTAGTAAATCAAAACAGCGTGGCCGGGAGGGCGCAGAGGAGCGGGGGAGCGAGACTGCAGGGGAGCCCCCTCCGGCCGCGCGCCCTCACTCCAGCGTTTGCTGTTTGGCAAACTCCCGGAGTCCACGACCCGGCCTGCTCTGAAATGTGCCCGGGGAGGGGCGGGGGGAGGAGGTGAGACGTTTCTAATTGGCGCAGGTTCTTATTACAGCCCCAGTACAGACACGTGACCACGAAAAGAACAGGCCTGTCTTTAATTTTTTCCTGTCATTCTCCGGAGGTTTGGCGGTGGGGGTGGGGGGTGGAGGCCAGCTACTCCCCCTTCCCCAGCAGCCCCTGTCCCATTGTTTTCTCATACTGCCACAATTAGGAAAACATTTGCTTAACATATCCAGCCGCTAACTTCATAAAATAAATAGTCGGAGACCGAACTTCCTCTGGTTCGCTTTCAATGGCTTCATGTTGCCTCCCTTCTGGTTGTTCTCAAACCTCAGCCACTATGGGGAAGGGGCCCCCACAGTAAGGGCTTTCCCTGGGACGGGGCTCTGCTGAGAGGGAATGACAGCGATGAAAACAAGTACCAGCTTACATCAGTGCTGGGGGAAATGTTGTGCAGTCTCCAAACTGTGTCTCCATCTGTTGCCTCATTGGGTCCTATCAAGTCCCAGCACAGTATCTCATTTGATCTTAGCCCTGTTGGGTATACAGGACAGGTATTAACAGTTCCACTTTACAGTGAGATTAAATGGTTACCTAAAACAGGTGGAGGCGTGGCCTGGGTCGTGTGGCCCCTTGTGAAAAGAACTCTTCTCCAGTCCACACAGGGCCACTGGAGACGGGACAACTGAAGTGACAAATTGACCTAAGCATAGCCACCCTGGCTTTCCTGGTTCCCAGATTAAAATTCACAGATTAAAGGTGGGAAGGTTCCCAGTTTTCCCAAAGATATTTTTACTTAGATTCTGTTTCAGCTCATCAATATTCTCAGACTAGGAAAAGAGAAATCCTGAGAAAGATCATAAATAGGTTTTCATCCTGCCAAATGCAGACAGGGAATGAGGAAGAAATGACTGTTTGGGCACATTCCAGGAAATGTGGCAATATAGAAAGGGGTTTTGGATTCAGACAGACCCAGACTTGAATCCAAACTCCGCCTCTGTTTGTTATAGGACTTTGGGCAAGTTATCAAGCCTCCGTTTTCTCATCTTCTTACTTTGAAGAGCCGTTGCAGCGACAAAGAAGTAGGCAGAGATGTTCAATGAATATTCATATCTCTTCTCTCCTCTTGACAAAACCAGTCCTGCTGGGCACTTTATAAACAGACACCTGCCTTAATCATGGAGGGATAGGAAAATGACTTGCCCAGATAATGCAAGTGAATAATGATGACATAATAATACAACTGCACATTTATAAAATAATATTTTATATCATTATCTCATTTGATCTTTATGACAACATTGACATTTGTTTGCTGCTAAGTGATTTTCATTTTAGGTCAGCGTGGAGGTCCTAAAGCCGCCTCTTTAATTTCCATCACTGCTTAGAGCAAGCCTTACTCTGTAGATAAGTCATGGGGACAGAGGGCCTTTCCTCATGGATGTGACCAGTCTTTGACCTTTGCAAGAATTAATCTCACTCCTTGCCTTACATCACCATTAGTGTGACTTAGCTCTGGCAACATCTAAGCATGGTTGTTTTAGTCTGGCTGTTTTAGTTGTGCAGAAGAGAGAAACACTCATGTTATCATTAGAAAAAGGGGGTTTGCTGTAAAGGTATAGGAGGACTGGAACTGAACCATGGCAGACACAAAGAATATTATACATCAGCTTAATAAATGACTTACAATGACCTGCAATGATATGGATGAATTCTAACAATATTAAGTGAAAAAAGAAAGTCCTGAAAGATTACATACGCACAATACTCTGTTTATAATGTTAAAAATACAATGAAAAATAATTTAAGGAGTACATATACCCACAGTAAAACTATATAAAAAAGGAGTCAGGGAATGACGATGCCAGAAATCAGGATGGGGGAGAAGGGAGGGCCAGGCATGGGATTGGATGGGAGGGAACCATTTGGTTAGACACAGTTATTGTCAAGGTCCTAACTTTTGGGTGGTAGGTTCACAGGTTCACTGTTAAAAATAACTACTTAGCTGATGGTTGCACAATTATGTAAATGTACTTAACGCCACTAAACTGTATACTTAAAAATGGTAAAAATGGTACATTTTATGATACGTATATTTTACCACAATTAAATGTATAAGGAACTAAAAAAAAAAATTGGGGTGAATCAGAAAGAAAATAAGTACTACTTAAGTAATTAACTAAACAAATAAAGGTCGGCTGTACATAGACCACTGATGAGAATGTGTTTATAACCAAGGATTTTATAAATGCACCAGAAGTTTATTTTTAAAAAATAAAATAAAATAGTCAAGGAGGTGGGAGAG